TTAAATAATTACATATAATTCACACACACATATAATATAATTCATTAAATAATTACATATAATTCACACACACATATAATATAATTCATAAAATAATTACACATAATTCACACACACATAAAATATTATTTATAAAATATAATTTAATTTATATTATAAATATGAATTATATGTTCTACATATATCTCACATGCCTCGATTCTCGACGATTATTTTTTCTTCTTAATCAAACAAAAAAAATTTAAATAAAATTGATTGAATATTTATCATTATTTATCGCGTTATTTACTTATTAATGTTATTCAAATAAAACAAGCAGAAAAAAATATTTGTGGATTTGAATGAATGCTTATATGTTGCGATACAAAAATGCCTAGATTTTGTAGTAAATTTGTTTTCTTGGATCCGCCAAATACACACCTGTCCAAAGTATCTCCGTTTGTGTATTTAATGGATATACACTGCATTATATGCGCGCAAGGTGATGGCGCTTTAGAACGGCCTGAAGACTTATGGGCCGAAATTTATCGTTGCACCTTGTGATCACCTGTGTGAGGTTTCAGCGGCACCTCATTTTATAGATGAATTCGGTTACGCCTAATATATCTTCATCCTTCATACGGTAGCAAATACTTCAAGAATAGAAGTTTCGCAACACAATTCACCGCTGCGGTCAATAATACAAATTTCGGAATTCGACACAGAATTTCCCTCGCGTGTTTTAAGTAGACGTTCGTCGTTGGTGGTGCTCGAGATATGGAATTAGATAGATATTGCCGGTGATGGTATAAGCTCCCGACTGTTATAATTACGGCAATTAAAGCGAATGTAGTTCTTCTCTCATAATTAATGAGACAATTACTTCCAGAACTAATATACGCGTGCTTCCTATTCTCATAAAGATAAAAAGATGATTTTGTGAACGTAACTACAGCATACAGGTTCATTAATTAATGTTCTACAAATTATAAAAATTAAGTGCAGTATATCTGTTATGCGTTTATTTCTAGGGTTTGCCATATTTGTATATGACATGGCCAAGAATTACAGAAAAACCATATATTTCTCAGATATATGAAAAAATTGAAGATACAAGGTATATACAAAGTAGCTTTTCAGATATATACAAAAATAGTTTTTGCAACGTAATATTCCTTCAAAATTAGACCAGCTTTGCTGCTATAAAAATTTCTATTCCGCTTGATCTCGGAAAGTGCTGCTCATTCCAGCTTGCAAGTATTACTTTCGAACCCACTGTATGATACAATAAAAAAGATTCCCACACCATATTGTAAAACCGAATATCATAATGGATTCTTTTAGAGAAAAAAACTGCTTGATATAAAAACTTTTATTCTAGTAACCCTTAAAAATCAACGTTGTAAAACAAAAATGCAATGTTCTTACATTACAAATGCAAATTAAAATCTTATAAGATAATATGATAAGAGAGAAAGATGATAGAAGAGACAGTGTTATTATTGAAAATTTAATTCAATTTTTAATATTCTACATAAGATTCTTTGATATTATATGTATTATGATATCATATACACACATAATTTGATCGGAAATTTAATAGCCTATAATATGCAATAAGAAAAAAATACAAAAAAGAACTTTTATGAAAAATTTATTCTGGTAGAAAATTAGGAAAAGTATCTCAAAAATAATTTGCTAATAATATAAAACCTCATATATATAAAACTACAGAGAATAAATAATCATTCTAAAAAAATAATTATTTCAACAGAAAATATATAAGAATTCAAACATTAGAATTTAACGTATAATTATAACTTGGAAATTATTGAAAAACTTTAGTATATATACACAAATGATAAAAATTTATTTAACTGTCTATAATTATTAGATGAAAATATTCCCCAAACGTATGACGTTACATTTTCCATTACGCTGGGCGCGTCGTGCGATTTAATATTTGAAATCTCTGAACTTTGGTATGCTCGTCCGTCGGGCTGTCAGAGACTGCAATCTCTCCCCTTTGGTTGTCGAAGTACGGTCGCCGGACGTCGGAGTTGAAAGGGGCCTCCGCGAGACCGACGGTCAGCTCGGAATGGAATGTGTCTGCACGGATTCTAGACTGAACTTGTTCCCATGTTTCCTCTATCGAATTGAACGGACCACCATGGACTGCTACTAGCATGACTCACAAATATTAATATCAACCTGGCACACGGCGAGATACATTTTTTTTCTCCCAATCCGTTTATTTGATCGTTCGTTGTGTATCTCAATAGTATCTGATTGTTTTCGAGAGTACTTTGGACATTTTGGCAGTTTATTATTAATATTTACATCTGCGTTTTTAAATATTTCTGTCAAACATTAATCAATTATTAATGTATTCTTTTAATAAGTTCTGAAAAACTTCACGAATATGTTCGACAAGGCAATTATCGAATCGTTTAATCTTGAAACTAACCTATGGGTTATGTAAAGGATAATCTATTGTTTCTATATTTTTTTAAAAGCTACTTAGCAAGACCAATGTGCATGTGTACGCACATATATTGACACTTTTTAGCCTCGTGAATTTACATATGCGTATTCTCTGCCTCCGCAACTCAACCGGCGTATCTTGCGGATTGATCAGATTACAAAAAGTCACTTCAACTGACTTTGATGCTATTTAAAACGGCCATGACGTAGTCATATGGTATATAAAAAAATGTTAAATGCATAAAATATCTCTGTAGATATCAACGCAAGAGATATTTAATAATTACGGTAATAATTATATGTGCAAAGTAGGAAATCCTTTTTCTTTTTTTGTTGAAATGGCAGGGTTTTGTCACTGCTTGAGCATTCATCACATGGCTGCACTACATTTTAGCGGTCGGAAGAAAAAGATTTCTATAGTGAGCATCCGATATTATACCTTTTTTTTTTTCACGCAACTTATTACTAGGTTTTTGTGAATAGATACACGTAAAATGCGTAGAAAACAAGTCACAAAAAGAAACTTTAGTGAACCTAATAACGATGCAATAAATCGCATTGGAGAAGAGTAGCCTTAAGATTTATTTGTAACATTGTGGCGAGCTAATAATAACAATGTTAGCGATGAGAATTAGAAAAAATGGAAATGGCTAATTTTTCGTATAAATGAGAAGAATGAGAATATTCTCTGCTTATGTTAGCAAACATTAAAAAGTTATAGAAATTTTTTATAGCACGTGTAAAAATACAATTTTATTAGTATAAAGCATTGAATATAAAGTATCTTATAAATATTATATATTATTATTAATAAGTGAATCTGCAAAATTACAATTTTGTTAAAAAATTATTTACGTGAAATTATACATATACCTCGGTATAATACACTAAATTTTTTTGTTCTACTTTTACCTTTGAAATTCAATTTGTAAAAAGTTATTCATCGTTAATCGTGATATAGAGATCTAAAAAATTAATCATATTAAGATTTTTTTCAAGAAGATTGTTTCTAATTATGTGTGTATGTGCTTGAAAGATCGATAATTGAAATTTATTGATAGATCATTTTGTATAATTTCGAACATACAGAACACATACAGAAACATTACGTAACATGTAAGTCTCATCTTAAAGATGAATTCTTTGAGGAATTTGAAGTTATTTTTTCTTTAATAAAAATATGTGAAAGTGTTGATAATTTTTAAATAGTAAAAATGGATATCCTGTTGCGAATATTAAATTTAAGAACTGGGTTTTTTTTTCTAGGAACTTTACTTATAAAAATGAAGTACTTAATAAAAAGAAACTCCAGTCTTTAGACTTAGTCTTAGAAAAAAGAAAGTTTAGTCGTATTTTTCTTAAGAGAGTGTCAATTCTAAATTGTTAAAGAATCCAAATTTAAAGTAAAGTCCACACGCGTTTAGAATAATCACATTTGCATAGCCATATTCTTTTCAGATAAAGAAGAAAATAATGTCCTTGTAACTCTGCCGTTATTTATAATCTCACTGTAATAATATATTTCGATTTTTGTCTTTTTCTTTTAGCGAACGGCTCGTATACACCTGGAATGGAGCCAAAGCGACAGAGAACTGCCTACACGAGGCATCAGATACTCGAACTGGAAAAAGAATTCCACTTCAATAGGTACCTGACGAGACGACGACGAATCGAGATTGCTCATAACCTGGTCCTGTCGGAGCGACAGATCAAAATCTGGTTTCAGAACCGTCGTATGAAATGGAAGAAAGACAACAAGCTGCCAAATACGAAGAACGTGCGCAGGAAGAACGCAAACGGCCAAGCGCCGCCAGCAACGGCGAAGTCGGCGAAGACTTCGGCGACACGAGCAAAGTCCGGCACGGGTAACAATAACAGCCAAAGGAAAAACAACAACTCGCCCTCCAGCGGTATGGAGAACAGCCTGGACTCAAACATCGGTCACGATATGGGCGAAGTTCATGGGGTCAGCACTACTCTTCCTCCTCCCGTGGTCCATCCAAGCTTTCAAGGTCACCCTCATTCTCTGGCTCATGTCCAAGCGCAGCTGAGTCATCTTCACGTGGGTGGAATGATGGACGGTCCGACGGGAGGACCATTGGGACACATAAGTTCCGGAAGTATCAGTCCACTCGCTCCGGCTACCAGCCCTCCTGGATTGTCACAAGTATCAGCTCCTGTACCGCCATCGGCGATAAAATCCGATTATGGACTCACGTCTCTGTAACATCCATACCGGAAGATATATTTGATGATGTAACATTTTCGATAGTACATTGTTCTCCGCTGTTTCTTGTGTTCGATCGGATATTTATTGCAAACTGTATAAAAGTAAGTAGGTTTAAATTTTCCTCATTGCACCGTGGATGAGAAGAGAGTGATCAGAGGTTATTATTTTTACATACGGATTACTGCAATGACGATCCATTAACATTTATCTAAACTGGTAAGTTCAAAATTGAAAATTTAGCAAGGCTATTTTAAAGAAGAAATATAAGAATAATAACGTTTGATTCTTTGTCTAACGCTGCAATGAAGAATATTTCTTTGTGGAAGTTAGATCTGAGAGAAATTTGTAGCTGAATAAAAAAGGGAACACAATTCTACAGCGAAAGAAAACAGGTAATAATATCCGGATAAAATATAGAACATCGTATCTTAGACTGTGTTAATAATAAATTTGTTTATCAAAATGACAAGAAATTTTACTCTTCCAAGACGACTTTCTATTTATATTTGACTGAATTATGAATTAATATTATAATCTCACATTTTTGTAAGTATCAATTTATTAATTAAGTGTGAACATTTCAATAATGTTATGACAAAACCTGTAATTATTTATTATTAAAATATCTTTATTGCTAATTATGCATAAAAATACATGATGCATAATATAAATTTTAAAATTATGTTTAAAATACTGGCAATTNGAGAGGGGGGGGGGAGTGAGAAATTACTGATATTATTAATAAACGCTCTGTAATCATACTAGAACGACCAAAGATTTCATCTGAAAATTCAATTTTTTTCATATATACACATATATGAATATATATATGAATACTATTTTATATCATGCTCAAAACTTTCTTACACTAATATATATGTACATACATACATACATAAAAGTTATATTGAGTTATAACAATTTTTATTTTAAAAATACTAATTTCTCTTTGAATGTTGGTATTATTATGCAAACAATAATAAGAACATGTGATCTATTAACGTTTTGAATTTTATATCTTGACGAGAGAAAAATATTCCATCTCTCAGAGACATAAAGAAAGGGTTGGAAGCATTAACACTATTTCTATATATCATGCTTTCTCTCTGTCAGTAAATCCCCAGAATTTTAAACATAATTTTAAAATATATGTGTCGTGTGTTTTTAAGCATTAAAAAAAATTATTACTCACCTTGATAATAATTTGATTATTGAAAAGCAAATTATAAGATTCCTTAAATTGTTGCAAGCTCTAATATTATTAATAATTTTAATTTCTTAAATTGTTAATAATCTTAAAGTCTGATCAAAGGTTTCTGATATTTCACTTTTTGAATTTGCAGATATACAAATTTTAAATTTATTGCACGTTATCATATGCATAGAAAGCGCAACATGTATGCCTTATAGCACCAAGTTAAATACATTCAAAGCGTTCTTGGAGCATACACATCATGTTCAGATATGATGCAACTGATTGAAAAATCAAATTATATTTTTATTGTTTAATTTAATATTTTATAATATTAAATTAAAAATAAAATATTATATACAAAAGGTAAATCTAAAATTCTTTATATTTTATCTTTTGATCTTATATTCAATCACAAACGTCAAACACTTTAATTGTAAACGCAGTTCTAAGTCATGATGCACACATATCTATACATGATACGTATGCCCCGAATAGGCACTAAATACGTGTTTAACTTCATATAATAAGATATACATGAGTCTTACATACTGTACAATATGATGAATGATATACATTATGAAAGATGTATATATTATTGAATATCTGATACAGTTTAAAAGTCGGACAAATAAAAAATGCATATATGTGCGAACGAAACCATAAGATCAAGTATAAGAAAGGCCCCTTAAATCATAATGTAGAATTTTTTTATATATTGCTGATTGAATTATATTTGTAAAGAAACTTCTTAATGCTCCCATAACACTTTCTTTATGTCTCTGAGAAATGGGTATTAATATCTCTATTGCATATTTTTCTCTTCTCAAGACTTATAATTCAAAACGTCCATAGATTACACGTTCTTATTATTATTTGCATTAATAATACCAATATTTAAAGAATAATTGGTATTTTATGAAATGAAAATTGTACATATAACTCACTATAACCTTTATGTATGTATATATTAGTGTAAAAAAGTTTTATTGCAACATGATATGAAAATAGTGTTTATATATTTCGTATATTACTATATAGGTAAGTGTTGATATTGACATTTTTACATGACGTATCAGCATAAATAGATAAGAAAAATTAAATTTTCAAGTAAAAACTTTGGTCATTATTATATGATTGCAGAGTGTTTATTAATATCAGTAATCTTTTTCTCTCTCTCAGTAAATCTTCAATATTTTAAATAATTTTAAAATATATTAGCATCATGTGTATTCTTACGCATTTAAAAAAAATTATTACTCATCTGGGAAACAGTTTGATTATTGAAAAGAAAATATATTTCAGAATTTCTTCAAACAACTCTTAAAAAAAAAAAATAGAGGTATAATTAAAGCTATCATACTTGAAAGCATCTTTCCGTAAGGTACATTGTAAATAATTCGAGATGATAGTATATATTTTTACCGAAAGGAAATGAGGAATGACCAATAATAATTAGGACACAATTGCACGTGAGTAAATCAGAAGTTGTACGATTTTAAGCGAGTAGTAATCAAACAATTAATGCACAGAATCGCTGTGACGATATACCAAAACAATATTATTAGATATAAGAAGCAGAGTTAAACCTCTTAAGGTACTTTAATTCTAAAGAATCGAGTTAGAGTGTAATTAGCGAAAAGGACGTAAAAAAAGTAAATGTATGAGTTTTGAGATCGTTCTATAAGTGTGACATTATACCCTTTGCTATAATTATTAAATGTATATAGAGCGTGTACGATAAGGAATCGTCATCGGGCACACTTCATGCTTATGTTTATATTGATCGTAAGGATCGATGAAGAACTATACAACCGTCAAGTAAATCGATGAATAAATAAATGTTTCATAATTTACAATAATACCGTGTTTCCAAATTGTATATATTTCCACACTCATTTCCCGTCCATCATTTTTTTTTGTGCAACATTTTCCTTTTATGCGTTGTATGTGTATGCGCGTGTTAGTGGGTTCGCGCGATAGTTTCCTCGCTTTCATATTTTTCATAATCTTTTGCACTATTTATTATTCTGTCAGGAAACACCGTTAATCAGCCAAGGCTAGGGCAACTTGTTATCTTAAGTTTTGACACTATCTCTTTCTTAGGTATATTCGCATTATGTTGTGTTCGCAAAGTATCGTTTCCATTCCAGGTTTGATAAGAGTTACACTAAAAACGAAAATAATATTGAACATGAAACGGCTCAAAAATAATAAGTAAATTACTTACATGGATAATATTATAACAAACATCTTTATTGCAAATATAATAAAAAGGTTATTTAAGAAAATGTATTCAACATTAGTTTGTATTACTTTATATATTTATTTAAATTTTACAAATAATTTTAAGTTAATAGGCAAATAAAATATTTATTAAAATAATAATTTAGCACAATTACCATATACAAAAAAAATACAAATTTTTATTTCTTGCAAAATTTAATGCTTATGTCTCAAGACATTGTTTGTACGAATAATTCAAATATTTATTACACTTGTGTTAATTTTGATACATAGCTTATCATATCTTTACTTTCTACAGTTATAAAACGGTGATGACCAAAGAAAAATTGGTAAAACGTAACTTGCGAGACACAACAGATAGATGGAAATATTGTAATACACATTTCTGCTTAATAGAAAAATAAGCAGCCTCGAAACGCACGCGGTATCATAATTTACAGGGATCACAGGAGCATTATGGTATATCATAGGTATCACACAGGAGCGTTATGGTATATCATAGGTATTTACTGTTTCTCGTATCCCCTCCTATGTAATCGTATGGGCGCCCATGGGCACCCATGCGTGCGATGTTGCGCATGCGCGAGCATGTGCGTGATTGCCGCAGCCCGGGGCAAGGGATAGCTCGTAGCAGCTCGAAAAGAAGGGTGGCACCCGGAAAGCGAATGGGGGGATTCCTGCCTCCGCCCATGCCGCCAACACATCCCGGCTAACTGCCTAGATCTGTTGCTACCAACCGGGTTCCAAAAGTCAGACATGTTATGGCGTGAACCAAGGTCGCTACTCGCATCATAACTTAAGGGAGTATTAAAAGAATATTGATATTTTATCTGTGTGTACATCTGTACATCTTATATGCTTGCCCATACAATATGCATGTCCCAGAAGACATCTTTGGACGATAGGATATCTTCGGGATGTGTCCTCTGAACGTCTTTTGAATATGCATGTTGTGTGGGTGTTCTTCATATCTTTATATCTATTTAACGATATCAGGTCCGACTCCCGCAAAAGAGTCTAACGATAATAGGAGATAACTAATCTTTCTGATCGATCTTGATAACTAGATAATCCCATTGCTTTTCATTTTTCACTTGAGTAATGAAAAGAGTTTCCATCAATTTTCTGAGAGATTAAAAAGGAAAAAAAATGTAAAGAACCAAGTAAGGTAAGGAAAAGAGAAATAACTAGCTAGCGAAAAGTAATAGCCAACTAGCAATTACTGCACCCAAATATTACATGTATAATTTACAGAAAATTGTATGTCAGCAAAACATGTTTATCATTTATTTATATATACATATTATATTATTAATAAACCCGTATCAATTAAGAATACACGTATTTCTTATTTTAAAATTGTTATCAAAATTTATTGAAATCAGAAAAAAATATACGTACCTTTTCTCAAATAAAACTCAAATTAAAATTCAATTTATTTAAAATTAAAGAGGATATAATTTTGTTATTTATTTTATCTCTTGAAGTTTAAATTGACAAAAGTCTATTATTTTTTATAGATAATTATAAAATATTTTGAAATTTTAATTAAAAAGAAACTGATTCATATAATCAACCTAAGAGTCTTTCATTGCAAAATAATATTGTTAATGTGTGGCTTGCATATTAAATATAATAAGAATGATATTCTACTGTTGTCGCTGGACGCAATAGATATTTATAATTTTTTGTTTATGGCGATCTTATGAAAAATATTTTCAGTAAATGCAATATGAAAAATATAATTTTAATCACACAGTATATAATTTTAATCACACTCTCTACATTCTAATTCTAAAATACATGTATTCTATCCAACGCAAGACGCGATACGATTAATAGCAAGCTCCCAAGCGAGTAGGAAGGAAGTACACAAGAGAGCCACTAATTGCAAGATCTATGTACTGTTGTATGCTTGTTGTCCGTGAGTAGATAAACCATAAGTTTCGATGCTAAACACCTAACTTCTCTCGGATGTAGATTAGTTGCAAATTATTGTAGACATTTTGGTTAGTCCAAAGTGGAACAAGATAATAATACAAAATTGATTACAACTTGTAATCAATATTTGCATTAGATAAATAATAGTAGAAATTATTTGCTTAACGAGAACAGAGAACAAGGACAGAGTGCTTCAAATAAAATAAGAAGAAATTGTGTAAAATATGTAACATTTTTATTGGCGGAATATTATTACAACAAAAAATTACGTCGAAAATCGAAACTAATACTACTATGAAAAACGAACTCTGCTACGGAAAGCACTGTAAGTACTTTATAATACAGATACTTTGTGTCTAATTATTGCATGGACTTCTCATTATTACTTACAATTCGCGTAATTATTGTATAATTATCTTTCACATGCTTTCAAGATTATAGCATGTGCAAAATCGAGGTTTCTTTGACAAAAGGAAATTATTAGAATACATACAGACGAGTACTCTAATTAATTTTTTTTATAACATTAATATGTCAAGCAAGAATAAGAGTTCAAGTGAGAGAATAAATAAAAAATAATATTTTTTCACATTTTAATTAGAGAAAGAGAGATCCTCGATATTCTATAATTATTATTCTCTAATACATATAAGTATATATATAATTATACTTTTAAAATTTTTGTGACCGAAGCATATCGGAGGTCGAACGTTCGATAAAATTATGCTTTGCAATTATATCGAAAATTCCAAAAGCGATGCAAGATAGATCTGGTGTGAACGGTCCCCATCAAATGTAATTGGAGGGGATTAACGAGTCACGACTCCATTTATCAGCCACCGTAATTACAAAGCATCTCCCTCCCCCCATTCCTCCCTCCCCTTCACCCCGAACAATCCACCCTCGCCGTTTCTCTCGCGCTCGCCGCATCGCTTTCCGCTCGGATCTCGCTCCGCCGACTGACTGACATCCCCCAAAGACAGTTTCGCATCTCAAATACACATTCGCCTGTAACTAAAGATAATAGGTACCGCCGTGTCATCGGAGAGGGAACCGACGCGAAATTAGATTTAAATCCACCGTACAGACGTAGCGCGGAAATGTTTGATCTCCGGGCGCTATTAATTGCCACTTCCGTTGAACGAAGATCGCAAACTGATAAAGTTTGAGAGAATGTTCTTACTGTGGCTTATTTTGATTTCGAGAAAGCAGATAATGAATCGATTGCCGTGACACGCAGCACAGTAGCAGTCCGACGACACGCGCCGATGATTGAGCGGGAGTCTATCTTCCCTCTCATTCTCTTTCTCTCTCTCTCTCTTTCTCTCTCGAAAAGCTGACATGGGCGGCCACGTCCGTCTCTAGAATTAATTAAAACCATCGGACCAGAGGAGAGACATGTATTTTTATCTACGGCTAGTCTCGGTGACGCGCTCTACCTCCGAGTAGCTGGATATAAAAGAAGAAAGGGTGCTGTGTTACTGTCATCACGTTCCATCGCAGATAATCTTACATGCCAGCTCCAGTTCACAATGTCGTATATCTCGTACCGTTAATTTTCGTTACACACAACGCCTCGTGAATATTTTACCGAGATAATATACGTAGCAGCGATGCGACTGATATTAATGCGCGATTATTATATCGGTAGGGCTTTCAAAATTTTATGGAATCGAACGTTCGAGAATTTCGCGAATTCGAGTTTGATCAGATTTGAAGTATACCCACATCGATCTCGAATAATCGTACAATTTCCTTTTTCCATTGACTTATTATTTTTTGCGAGCGTATCTCTTCGACTCCTTCTCGTGTGATAATGCTACCTAAAGGTTGCGCACCAACAACAAGCACCACGAAGTGCCACTATTACGAGAAGCCGTCGACGGTACCTGTCGCTAGTCCGCTACCTCTGTATAGAAGAGGAAAGAGAAAAAAAAATGATTATTGAATATAGTATTCTATCAAATAAGAATGTATTTATAATGTCTTAAACATAGATCATGGAAGGCAGTTGTGTACTTGTTATACATAAATTGAAGAAATGTTTTTAACAATTTAAATATTTTTAGGGGACAATAAATATGTGATAAATATTTAGAAGAACAAACAGGAATATTTTCTCAAATATTATTTATTAATTATTTAGATCCCGCTCACAGAAAAAAGACCAGAACATAAATGTTGGTTTGGCATAAAAATTTATGCCACATATAATGGTTTCGATAACGATCGACGTAGAGATAATAATTGTTATCGAAACAATCATTTGTGACATAAATATTTACGCTTCAATAAATATGTACTGATTCTTATCGATTCTTTTCCTCTTATCAAAATTTCATATCGAGAGAGAAGAATATTTCCATTCTCTCTCTATTTAAATTGCCATTTATTTGCACGTGCGCATATCTCTGTACACAGATACTTACCATGATGCATTTCCGGACCTTCTTTTTGCTCGCTCTTGTGTGACACCTACGCGTTCCATATTCGTTCTTAAGACAAATGATGCATATATGTGCTGGTCATTTCGTCTATATCCGCATCATAATCGCTCCGATCTACAACCTGTACGGCGCTGAACGTGAAGTGGGTAGTCGTTAAATTGCTCGTTTAGTGAGTGTAGAGACAGACAAGAATTTCGCTCTTATTATCGTTAAAATTCAGCCGTTTTGCGACCACACGCTTTGTATTCAGTGGCAATAAAAATAATGTATATGCATTATAAAAAAATTAAAATTAAATAATATTAATAATGTCACCAATACGAGCCGTTAGATATTTACGTGTATGTGTGTGTGTGTGTGTGTGTGTGTGTGTGTGTGTGTGTGTGTGTGTGTGTGTGTGTGTGTGTGTGTGTGTGTGTGTGTGTGTGTGTGTGTGTGTGTGTGTGTGTGTGTGTGTGTGTGTGTGTGTGTGTGTGTGTGTGTGTGTGTGTGTGTGTGTGTGTGTGTGTGTGTGTGTGTGTGTGTGTGTGTGTGTGTGTGTGTGTGTGTGTGTGTGTGTGTGTGTGTGTGTGTGTGTGTGTGTATGTGCTAAGTAATATTTAAAATATTTCTCGCCATATTTATGTTGCTCTCCGTAAAGTTCGCGATGCGTCATATGCGGGCCAGAAAAAGTCCCGGCCACAAGAATAAATGAACATAAGATATATTTATGTGTGTGCGTGCCGAAATAAATTCAGCCTTTAATCATTACTTATAATATCTTACAAATCAATCATTATATAAGTAATTCTTTGATTAACAAAATGTAAGAATTTTAGATCATGAACCGGTATACTATAAGCGCCTAATCTCAGACACCTCATCGTAAAACAGCAAAAAAAAAAAATTTAAATTTAGTCTAAAATATGCTCAGCTACGCATATCTTTGCATCATTCAAAAGTTCAAGCTGAATAAAGCAAATTTATATTCTTCAGACAAGACGAAATTTTGTAGATACATTAACGCGCTCAAACGTAAACATACATGTTTATAACGCTTATTGATACGAGGCCGCCGAAGTTTGTTTACGCCGCATTGTGTTCATACATTGTGTACATGTGAGAAGGCCGGGAGTTTTATTCAGTTAATCGTCAATCTTTGGCCGAAGAGGACTGGAGGTCGAAAAGAGAGAGAGAGAGAGAGAGAGAGACGAAAAGAGTAAAGGGGGAGAGGGAAGGAGGGGGGAGGGAGAGGGAAGAGAAATAGAGAATGAGAACGACAGACTGGGCGGCGCAAAGGCTTCGACTCGCAAGCCGCACGTTCATTAATCTTGATCGGATCAGTCGAGATAGCGGCGAGCTGTTTCGGAAACCCTCTCCTACCACCCCTTCTCATCAAGTCCCCTAGTACCATCGCCTCCACCTTCTCCTTCACCTCCTCGCTTCCTCCCCGCGTCCTCTGCGTGTCCCTCAGCTCCTTTTTCTTCTGCACGCTCTCCTCGAAAGTCTTTCCTGCAGGACCCTGGCTGCCTTCGGGTCGGTTCACCCGAAAGTTAAGAGCGAGGAAACCCCCGGAACGGATCGACAGCGGGCGAGAACGCCCGAAGCTTTTAATTCCCGTCCACACGCGCTGACCAATTTCATCCATCCGAATCTCCGAGAGTATCTCTCTGAGAGATTCTCGGAACTATAAAGCCAGATTCTTAGCTCGCAGACAAATACGTTTGTCGATATTCTTAACCGTCCCGCATAAATCGATTAGTGAAACTATACTATAATTGATACTCCGGTGAAAAATAACTATTGTCATTTTTTAAACAAATAATTAAAATTTTGTTCGTCTTCAATGTCCTTTAATTCTTTCGTTTGAGAGATGCAAGTAAAATACATGAAGTCGACTTGATATTCTGTTATTAAAGGAATATATGATATTTTTGAATTTATACAGTTTAAATTTTCTCTTAATAAATAATTTGATACGTCACTTATTTTCTTGTATTTAAGTAAAGAGAAATATTGGAATATTTTATTTTGATGATTTATACAGAATAGTGAGGATATTAAATAATTTAATTATTAATAGATTTCATATTATAATTGTTTTTTCTGTTCTCAACTTATCCGCTGCTTATATTTCATTAAAATTCTTTTTGCTTCTTTGGAAACGTGATGGATCTTGTTTTCAATTTAGTAGAGCCCCAACTGCGACTACCATAATGCTCTGCACGATCCACTCGTAGAATAGCAATGAGCTTCCACCCTGGTTGATAGCGAGCTATGAACTGCGGCGGCAATCAAAAAATTTGTGCATGGGAATCGATCAGATTCCACAACAATATTAAAAATATCTATTTTACTACCAAATAGATAAATTACAATATTTTCCAATATTGTGAATACACACGTAGACACGTAAAAAATAACCAGTTTTTAATCAGATCTTTAACTTTTGATCTTTGGCTACATAATCTAATGAAAAAAAAAACGTGTTTTACGTAGCAGATTTCTTAAAGCTGTTGTTAAGTGGCAACTGTTAAGTGACCGCTAATATCATTGCTTTAGGCCGCTATAAGCATCCCTCTTCAACGCTAGCCGAATTGGGTATTAACGCCCTTCATGTAATTAATCCTATAATCCTGTAGAGACGTGTCCTGTATCTCGTGGACAGAAAAGGAACGATATTTATCTGGTACTTCTATCAGGGCAGTTTTTGATATACAGTAATATTATATAATATATTGATTTGCGCGCGCGCATATATAAATTTGATTACATGAATTTAATTTTACTCAGTTAATGACTACTCACGTAACAACGAAGTGGCTTGCGTTGATTGTACTCTCTAAATTAATGTTTATCTTACTGCGAAATTAAATTTCTTCGTCAATCATGCTCGTTA